CACCATGGAACTTCTGGAAAAATAAAAGCTGAGGAAGGAAATATGGTTGAATTCTACAAATTTGTGAAAGGGATGGGTAGGTCAATGGGGATAGTTGTTCACAAAATCTGAGAATGCTAGAATTGGAGGGCACCTCCTGATGCTTCTAAGTCATTGACCAAATTTTTATTGAATAATTGAGTACCTATTTAGTCCACTGTTCGACTTCAGTGTGAGTTTATGACCAAAGATGAGAATTACTATTTACTTACTGGGCAATAAATTTGTGACACTCATTACTCCAAGAGGGAGCAGTCTATTACCCAGTCTTATCTTCCACTGCTACTTAACATTACACTTGGCTAAGCTCGTCTCTTCATGGGCCCAGGACTACTTCATGCCTCTTTGTAGGTCCAGAGTTCATCCACCCTTCATCCTTCGTGGCTCAGCTTAAGTTCCCTGCCAACCTATTATTTTTTTAAAAGATTTTATTTATTTATTTGAGAGAGAGAAATGGAGCAGAGGGAGGGGCAGAGGGAGAGGGAGAAGCAGACTCCCCACTGAGCAGGGAGCACGACATGGGGCTCTATACCGGGACTCCAGCATCATGACCTGAGCCAAAGGCAGACACTTAACCAACTGAGCCACCCAGGCACCCCCCCTGCCAACCTCGTCTTAACCCCTTACAAACTAAGAGGTCTTCTTTATATATTCCAGTCTGTACTGATGGCCTGTTCCTCAATATTTAAAACACCAGTTTGTCAATCTCGTAATAGAATCAGGCAGCTAATGTAAGCAACCAAGTGATTATCATAAACACTAATATATTATTATAAATATGTGCCAAGTTTTCATTGAACACTTCCCATGTGCCAGGCAGGAAGAGCTGACTTTATAATTTCACCTAAGCATCACGACAACCCTGTGAAATGTGTATATTATATCCAGAAACTGAGGCTCAGAGATTTTAGATAATGTGACTCATTAGCCACAGTGGATGAGCTGGGAATTTGACCTAGGTCTAACTCCAAAGACTGCACTCCCAAACACTATGTAATACTGTTTTAAAAAATATATATTTATTTTATTTTATGATTATTTATTTATTTATTTGACAGAGAGAAACACAGCAAGAGAGGGAACACAAACAGGGGGAGCTGGAGAGGGAGAAGCAGGCTATCTGCCGAGCGGGGAGCCCGATGCGGGGCTTGACCCCAGGACCCTGGGAATATGACCTGAGCCGAAGGCAGATGCTTAACAACTGAGCCACCCAGGCGCCCCCCAAAATATATATTTATTTTAAAGAGAGAGCGATGAGGGGGAGGAGTAGAAGGGGAGGGAGAGGGACAAGCAGACTCTGCACTGACCACGGAGCCCTATGCGGGGGCTGGATCCTAGGACCCTGAGATCATGACCTGAGCTGAAATCAAGAGGCAGTCAGTCGCTCAACCGACTGAGCCACCCAGGCGTCCCAGTGTATTACTGTTTTAATTGAATTGTGTGTGTTTTTGTCTTTCTCTAACTAGATATTTTTTAAGATTTTATTCTTTAAAGTAATCTCTAATGTAGGCCTCAAACTCACAACCCCGGAATCAAGAGTCACATGCTCTACTGACTAAGCCAGCCAGGCGTCTACTCCCTAACTAGATTTTTAAGATTAGGAAGCCAAGGATTTTATTTTGTGTTTCCTTTGTAATCTCTTCATTGCTATACTAGCTGCTATACAGAGTCAGTGCTCAGTAAATACTTATGGAACTCTAAAATGGAGTTGTAGCTAACAGGAAACACCAATTGCTTCTAAAAGGATTTAGATTTTAGTCAGATTCATGGGTGATACACTCATAATGGATGATTTAAAGGAAACAAGGAGATTTGGGTCCATTTTTATTTATTTATTTATTTATTTATTTATTTATTTATTTTAAACTTTGGTTCTTTTTTTTAGATTTTATTTGAGAGAGGGAGTGAGAGAGAGAGCATGAGAGGGGGAGGGTCAGAGGGAGAAGCAGACTCCCCGCTGAGGAGGGAATCTCATGTGGGCTTGATCCTGGGACTCTGGGATCCATTTTTAATACCTTACACCTTTGGGTAATATATGCCCTTTAATACGCCCTCGGGTCCATTTTTAATACCTTAGATGTCTTTTTTTTTTTTTAATTTTTTTTTTTTTTAAGATTTCACTTATTTGCGAGAGAGAGAATGAGAGACAGAGAGCATGAGAGGGGGGAGGGTCAGAGGGAGAAGCAGACTCCCTGCTGAGCAGGGAGCCTGACGTGGGACTCGATCCCGGGACTCTGGGACCACGACCTGAGCCGAAGGCAGTCGCTTAACCAACTGAGCCACCCAGGCGCCCCACCTTAGATGTCTTGATGGAGGAGAAACACACCTTCACAACCCTGTTGCTCCATTATGATTACGAACTGATTGGGTTGGGGGTGCCTGGGTGGCTCAGTTGTTTAAGCAGCTGCCTTCGGCTCAAGTAATGGTCCCAGTGTTGTGGGATCCAGCCCCACTTAGAGCTTCCCGCTCAGCGGGGAGTCTGCTTCTCCCTTGGCCCCTTCCCCCTGCTCGTGCTTTCTCTCGCCATCTCTCTCTCTCTCAAATAAATAAATAAAATATGTTAAAAAAAAAAAAAAGAAGAACTGATTGGGTTGATGGGATTATGGGTTTGACACCCAGCGTGACCATTCTTGGATTCTTTAGCTCCTTTTCTGTTTCCCAGAAACTCCTAGCCTAAAAGGGCGGATCCCAGTGCTGGTGCTTCTCCCTGTTTGGTTTTGCTTGCTGTCACGCCTCCTCTTCTTGTGCATTTATTTATTAGATTTTATTTATTTATTTACTTATTTATTTGAGGGAGATTGAGAGGGGGGAGGAGCAGAGGGAGAGGGACAAGCAAACTCCACGCTGAGCACAAAGCCCTGCGTGGGGCTCAATCCCAGGACCCCAAGATCAGGACCAGAGCGGAAAGCAGAGTCTGGGGCTTAACTGACTGAGCCACCCAGGCGCCCCTCTCCTTGTGCATTTAAATGAGGCATGGTACCTATAGGAGGCGGGCATTGAAGTCCAATAGGGCAGGTTTATCAGTAAGATGGTCAACAAATGATTATGTTGTGGTATCAGGCAAGTCATGCCTCCCAGCCTCAACTTACTCATCAGGAAAACGGAATTAAACACACCGCCTCCTCCAAGAATTCAGTTATCGTTACAGTTTCATATTTAATAGTTTAACTAGAAATATACTACGGAGAGACTGGGGCCTAAAAATCTAGATGGGATTAATTATCTGTGGTGGCTGAAATCATCTTCCATTCTCTTGCTGACTGCAACTGAAATACCCACAGTTGAGGGTGAGAGCCGAGGGACTGGAGTCAGATGGCTGTCCATAATCCGGTATGGTCCTTGGGAAAGATTTCAGGGGTTCGGGAACCTCGTGCAGAAAAGCAAGCTAAGGAAGACTGAGGGAGAGTGAGTTGGAGACTTCCTGTGCCGTTTCCTCCTCCACTTCGCTCCCCTCCCCCACTGCTGCCAATCACAGATTCTGACCATTAAGGCACAAAGGTAGAAAATCCCATGGGGTCTCCGGCCAAGAAGCCTCTCATTGTCCGGCTCTGACTATAAGCTCGGAGAATGGGAAAAGGGCATCCTCTCCCCACCTTCCCTGCTAGATTCTTGCTCCTTGCCACGCCGGGCTGGCTGTTGCAAGTGGGAAGCAATCTCAGGCTGCACGCAATCTTTTTTGCAAAGCCGAGGAATGAGTGAATGAGAGAGAGAGAGACAGAGAGAGAGTGCGTGTGTCTGTGTGTCTAGGTGGTGTAGGGAGGATTGGGGGTGGGATTCCATGACGTTACCGACTCCGCCTCCCCGTATATATAAGGGGGCGCTTGGCGCGCAACGACCCCAAGCCGCAGCTTTGAAGCCTGAGCAGCGAAGTGGGTAGCCCCAACCCAACTCGGCTCAACTCAGCCTCACCCAACCCAATCTGAGACTCTCCTCTCCCTGGGCTTGCAACAGCTCTCCGGTAAGCCTTGGGGGCCGACACGTGTGTCGGAAGGGGACGGCGAGGGTCTGGGCATACCTAGGATTCTCTGGCAACCAGAGCGTGCAGTTGCATCAACGCGGCCGTGACCTGTTGCTGGGCGAGACCCCGGCCCCAGGAGCCAAGGCTCCCGTCTCCACCTCAGCCCCGGACCGTTTCTAGATGAATCCGGGAGCCGAGTTGGGGGGCATAGGGTGGAACCCCTCTCTGTTGCAAGCAATTTCGGGCTGCCCTGGGGCCCCTCTCGGGGTGCATCTCCAAATCTTTAGATGTCGAAGCCCCGCCCCACTGTTGATTCTTGCGGGTCAGCCTAGCAGGGCGGGAGGAAGTGGGAGAACATTCGCTTACTCCCCTGGGCGACAGTAGCACCATTGACGCGGTGTGGGCTGGGTGATTAGGGAGGGAATTGAGTCGGTGCTCACTTTTGATCTGCAGGGGGAGGTCGGTTCCCCTCCCCGCCCCTCCCTCCGGGCAATCTAGTAACCTTGCCTATGAAGTAGCCCTTCGGGCAAGCGCTGAAAAGGAACATGGGTAGTGGATGCGAGAAGGGGCGTCTGCCCAGAGTTGCGGGCCGCTCCTGGGGTGAGTTCTGTTTAATTCCCAAGGAGCTACAGGCCGGGGAACGGACCCAGATTAGGTTCCACGGTTCCTGGGTTGGGGTCTAGGATAAACCCTAGTTTCCCCGTCAGAGAGAGAGAGAGAGACTGATGCTGACTGAGCGCTCCTGGAGTGCCCGGCTACTGTGCCATAGGGGCTTTCACATGTCTTTTCTGCATTTAGTCCTTCTACAAACCGGTGAGGTACTGTTACTCCTCCTTGTTAAGGAAGAAACTGAGGTTAGAGGAAGACACTTGCCTTTGTCCCTTCAATATCCTCCCCCTCCCCCCATTGCTCCTTTGCTTGGTGGGGTGGGTATTGTCATGCACTCTTATAGCTTAGGGATAATGAGCCCTATTGAAGGGCTTTTTGTCTTGTTTTTCACCAGATCTTTGAATCCTCTGCAATTCCAGCTAGAATGCTGTGGCGGGCACTTCGCAGATTTGGTCAAAAGCTGGTACGCAGACGTGCGCTGGAGCCAGGCATGGCAGACAGTCGCCTTGCCAGATGCCTGAGCACCCTGGATTTAGTGGCCCTGGGTGTGGGCAGCACCTTGGGTGCAGGTGTGTATGTCCTGGCTGGTGAGGTGGCCAAAGATAAAGCAGGACCATCCATTGTGATCTGCTTTTTGGTGGCCGCTCTATCTTCTGTGTTGGCTGGACTGTGCTATGCGGAGTTTGGTGCCCGAGTTCCCCGTTCTGGGTCTGCGTATCTCTACAGCTATGTCACAGTGGGTGAGCTCTGGGCCTTCACCACTGGCTGGAACCTCATCCTCTCCTATGTTATAGGTGAGATGTTGGGGCAGGGAGGGAACTGTGCGCAGCCAATGAAGGGGCTTTGAGTCCGAAAGTCTGGGCGCGATGGTGAAGCGATAAATTCTTTAACATTCACAAGACTTCAGTACCCCTAAATGTGTGTGTGTTGGGGGGCTGGCTGGGAGGGTTGAAGGTGTGGAGAAATTGTTCGTTTTCTACTTATCTCTGCCCTGGGGTCCTAAATGGATTCGTTTTGGTTTTTAAAAAGTAAGACTAGGGCCACCTGGCTGGCTCAGTTGGTGGAGCATGCTGACTCCTGCTCTTTGGGTTGTGAGTTCAAGCCCCAGGTTGGGTGTAGAGCCTACTTAAAAAAAAAAAAAAAAAAAAAGTAAGAATAGGTGAAAACAGCAGGGATTATTTGTGTGACTGGTGTCCGGGGAGGGAGGAGGGAGGAGGGGAGAAGGGGAGAAGGAAACTTGACCCCGTGTTTCTCCCTCTGCTCCCCCAGGTACAGCTAGTGTAGCCCGGGCCTGGAGCTCGGCGTTTGACAACCTGATTGGGAACCGCATCTCACAGACCCTGCAGGGGAGCATCTCACTGCATGTTCCCCATGTCCTTGCAGAATATCCAGACTTCTTTGCTCTGGGCCTTGTGTTGTTGCTCACCGGTGAGGGAAGACACAGGGCTAACTGATGGGGGCAGGGCTAGGAGGGACCAAGCCTGAGAGGGGAGGTGATAATGGTGAGAAAGAAGAGAAGCTGGGCAGGAAAGGTGTGCGCAGAGGCGGGAAACAAAGCGAGGACTGAGGACTTTTCTGAGTCCTGACTGCTTCTTTCCCACAGGATTGCTGGCTCTGGGGGCTAGTGAGTCAGCCCTGGTTACCAAAGTGTTCACAGTGGTGAACCTTTTGGTTCTTGGTTTTGTCATCATCTCTGGCTTCATTAAGGGGGACCTGCACAATTGGAAACTCACAGAAGAGGACTACAAACTGACCATGGCTGGACTCAATGACACCGACAGGTCAGGAGATTCACTCTCAGGAGCTGCAGAGCTGGGAGCATGATGGGGAGCCAAGGGGGATCCATGCTAAGGGCTTCAGGATTGGGTTGGGGAGGAGGAATGGGAGTTGAGGCCTCAAAGACCCGGCTGAGTGGTTTGGCGTTAGAGAAAAGGCCCAGAGGTGGCTGAACACACCTTTTCCATCCCTTTTCTTCCACTTTAGCTTGGGCCCTCTGGGCTCTGGAGGATTTGTGCCTTTCGGCTTCGAGGGGGTTCTCCGTGGAGCAGCTACCTGTTTCTATGCATTTGTTGGTTTCGACTGTATTGCTACCACTGGTAACACAGTCACTCTGGTTCTGGGGGTGGGGGCGCTGGGGTACAGTGTATGCTCAGGTGGCATGCACATTGGTGGGGGGTGGGGGGGAGTAGAGGAGCGGGCCTGCTTCCCTGATCAGAAACTTGTGCGCCTTCCTGCAGGTGAGGAAGCCCAGAATCCCCAGCGTTCCATCCCTGTGGGCATTGTGATTTCACTGTTCGTCTGCTTTTTGGCATATTTTGGTGTCTCTTCGGCACTTACGCTTATGATGCCTTACTACCAGCTTCAACCCGAGAGTCCCCTGCCTGAGGCATTTCTCTATACTGGATGGGCTCCTGCCCGCTATGTTGTGGCTGTTGGATCCCTCTGTGCGCTTTCTACCAGGTCAGTGGCCGAACGTTTGTTCTCCTCTGCCGTCGGGGTCTTTGGCTTTAGCGTTCAGTGCTTGGCGAATACCCCCTTAAAAGGGCTGTGAGGAGAAGGCTGTGTGGGAACAGAGACTGCAGTGAACTCATGCCGCTCGGCCATTCCTCTCTCCAGCCTCTTGGGCTCTATGTTCCCCATGCCTCGGGTGATCTATGCGATGGCAGAGGACGGCCTCCTGTTCCGTGTCCTTGCCAGGGTCCACACGGGCACACACACCCCCATCGTGGCCACTGTGGTCTCTGGCATTATTGCAGGTAAAAACAACAACAACAACAACAACCCCCCCCCCCGTCTTTGCCCTTCCCCAAGTTGTTTCACCAATTCCCTTAAATTTGCTCTTCCCTTCCCTCATTTCTTGTTTTCTGCCCATCAATTTCAGCATTCATGGCATTCCTCTTTGAACTCACTGATCTTGTGGACCTCATGTCAATTGGGACCCTGCTTGCTTACTCTCTGGTGGCTATTTGTGTTCTCATCCTCAGGTGAGACTCCCTTGGTAAACTAGGATTGGGGGGGAAGGTTTTGTTCTTGGGTGAGGAAGGACGGGGATCTCTTCTCCCTTCTTCCTCCGCCTGCCTTAATCCTGACTCTCCTGGAGGAACATGGACAGCCCACCACCCCGAAAAAAGCTCGTGGGGAGGTTAAGCTGCTTGGGAGAAGATGCTGAAGTGGTTAAGGGTTGTTGTTAATCCTGCCTTCTTACTCTTGCCTCAGGTATCAGCCTGAGCTGAAGAATGAGGAGGATGAGGTAGAGCTGCAGGAGGAGAAGATCGCCAAAGCAGAGAAACTGACCCTACAGGGACTATTCTGTCCACTCAACTCTGTCCCCACTCCACTGTCTGGCCAAGTTGTCTATGTGTGTTCCTCGTTGGTTGGTGAGCATTGGAATTTTTCTCTAGGGTGGTGGTTTTGAGGTCAGCATGACCGGTGTGTGTGTGTGTGTGTGTGTGTGTGTGTGTGTGTGTGTGGCATTTGGTGGTTGAGGATGAACTAGAGAGAGCATGACCTTCCTTGAATGGGGTGCCTGGTGTCTTCACATGCTGGTCTCAAGAGTTGGTTTTGATGTTTCTCAACTTGACCCTTGAAGCTCTGCTGCTCACTCTTCTTTGCCTGGTGTTGGCCCAGTGGCCCGTCCCCCTGCTTTCCGGAGACCCAGTGTGGACTGCAGTGGTTGTGCTGCTCCTGATGCTCATTACTGGGATCACTGGGGTCATCTGGAGACAGCCACAGAGTTCCACTCCCCTGCACTTTAAGGTAAATGACCTCTTTCTTTCCACCTACCCACCCATCTCAGAAGAATGGGCTCCAGATGCCTTGTGGTCTAATAAGATTCATAAATATTCTTTAATTGGACAAGGAAGGAAAGATACAGGAGATACCTAGGCCAAAGACTTCTCTCACCCTCCATAGTTCCTTTCCAGTTCTGTTTCCCCCAACTGTGTATCCTTGGAGTCCTGTCCTGTATGAGGCACATTAAATGTGTGGGCATTGAAATATACAAGATGAGTAGGAGTTGGACCCCTCCTTTCCTGGCCTCAGTAGGTTAGGGATCTCTTTCTAGGTCACCTCATGGTATATACAAAGAAGGTTTTGCTTTGTTCCCAGGTACCTGCTTTGCCTCTCCTCCCACTAATGAGCATCTTTGTGAATGTTTACCTTATGATGCAGATGACAGCGGGCACCTGGGCCCGATTTGGGGTCTGGATGCTGATTGGTAGGTATCCACTTGGGAAGAGTAGTCCTCTCAGGTGTCCTACCCCAGTTCTTTTTCCTCTTGGTCTCACTTTATAGGTCACTATTCCCTACCTCACAGCTACCTTTCCCCACTAGGGTTTGCTATCTACTTCGGCTATGGGATCCAGCACAGCCTGGAAGAGGTTAAGAATGACCAAGCCCCACTCAAGTCTAGGGCCAAAACTGTAGACCTTGATCTCAGCAGTGCCTGTACACATTCGATTTGACATCATCACAACTGAATGCTGTCTGGTCCCCCTGCACAATAATGGAGAGTACCCATGAGCACACTGGGAAGCCAGGGCTCCCACGGGATGTGGGTGGGCGACCACTAATAGAGCTCTGTATTTATTGTGGAGTGAAGGATGTGTCTTTGCTGTTTCTCATCTTTTTATTTTTTATTTTTGGTGGTCTCCTTTTCAATTTGTCTGTAGCTGCTTACTGGCTTTTACAAAATTATTATTAAAAAGACACTAGAAAAAGAAACCATGTCTTGTTCTTTGCTTGCTAGAGATGATGTGGGGCCTGACTTGCAGTGTGGAGAGCTTCAGATACGTGTCTTGTGTTTGCTCCTGTCGCCGCAAAAGTCTCTTTTGTGTCTGTGTGTGTTCCTTGTTGGCTCAGGGTTTGAGGAGGGTGGCGTGGCTGCTTGTTAAGTCTAGTCACACTGAAAGGAATGATCTTGAGATAGGTTTCCCTCTTGCTATACTAAAGGTTAGCTTCTGAATAAGTAGGACAGCAATACTTGTCTTTGGGATTTGGGGGTGGACTCTGATCTCAACACTGGCATTGGTCAGGACCTACACTGAGACCATTGTCTTGTGTTCCACCCCTTCTAGTTGGACTAGACCCAGACTCTTGTGACTGCCTGGGTAACAGAGGTTTTGGCTAGGGTATTTGGCACGGCTGGAAGGAGGGGTGGATGATAGTGGGGTTTGGTAAAGGACTATATAGTACATATAGATACTGATGGTTGTAGAAGTAGTAAGGCAACAGAGCTCAAAGCTTGGCTCAGACCAAGAACTGTTCATTCGTCCATTTTTTCAACACACCTATGCGGAGCTCCTATTAAAATTAAAATGCTAGGTCCCATGCCGGGCCCTAGGGATACAAATATGAATAAAACCTCTAGTCCCTGCCCTCAAGGAACTCACAATCTAGAGGGGGAGACAAGCAGGTACACATGAAATAATGTGACTTAATACCAGGGCAGGGGTAAGTGCTGATTGCCACAGAAACACAAAGAAGGACAAGCTTGACCCGAGTCTTGAATAGGTGTTCCTGACGTGGACTGAGGGGAGGGTTTGTCAGTGAATAGTGTGCACAAAGCCACGGAGTGTGAAAAACCATATTGTATTTGGAGGTATGGTCTGTAGTTTAGTGTGGCTGGAGGGTAGCCTATGTGGGGTTGTGAAATACAACAGAGACCATACGAACCACACGAATGGCTTTGTATATCCTACCAAGGAATTCAGATGTTATCTTTATAAGTGGCACTTGCACGTGTGTTTGGGGGTGGGCAGGTAGTGAAGGATTCTAAGGAAGGAAGATGGTTGGATTTGTTAGCCTGGCAGGAAGTAGGGTGCTTCAGAAAAGGCTGGGGGAAGCTAGAGCAGTGAGATAATAGTCACCATTTAACCATTGTGACATTGCTAGTAGTAATTAGTTAGGAGGACATTGCGGTCATTTGGGTAAAATATTTCAGGGTTCTTGGTCAGTTGGACGTAGGAGGTAAGAAAGAAGTGGATGGCTTAGATCATGAAATTTCTGATTGGATGATCAGATTAGTAGCCAAGATGGCAAAAGAGGAGTAGCATATTGGGGGGAAAGACGAATTCAGATCCAGATATGCTAATTGATAAACATTCATGAATTTAGCTTCATACAGGTAAAGATACGTAATCAACAACGAACTTGAAGCTAGGCTAGAAGTCCAGGCTAGAGTTAAAGATTTGAAGGGCCACCAACTCAGAGCACACACGTGTATGTGAAGCAAATTTTGGGGGGCGCTTGGCTGGCTCGTTGGTAGAGCATGTGAGCCGATCTTGGGCTTGTGATTTCGAGCCCCACATTGGGCTTAGGGATTACTTAAAAAAGCTCTAGTATAAATTATATAATTTTCTTTATATACAAAGAGCTCTTAGAAATCAGTAAGATGAATAACCTGATAAATGAATAAAGGATGTAAATAGTTTTCAGAAAAAATATGTAACACCAACAAATACTGATACTCAACCTCACTCATTAAAGAAATGCAAATCAAACAACGAGGTCTCAGTTCTTAACCTTATAGACCAGCAAAACAATTTTCAAGATTTTAGTTTTAAGTAATCTCTGCACCCAACGTGAGCCTTGAACCCACAACCCTGAGATTAAGAGTTAAGTACTCTACTGACTGAGCCAGCCAGGTGCCACTGTGCCGCCTCCTCCCCCCCCCCCCCCCCCCCCCCGTAAAACAAAGTTCAATGACTAGGGTTGGCAAAAGTGAGGGGAAACAGACAGTCTTATGCATGATGGGGATTTACATTGTAATTCTCGTGGAGAGTAATTTGATAATACAAGAATTAAAAACATTCCTTTTGATCTGACAATTCCACTTATAGGAATTTTAAAAATTTCACTTATATAAGGATATTTACTGTGACATTTTAATACAATAAAACTTGGAAGCTACCTAGTGTGCATCAGCCCGGAACTAGTTAAGTTACAATACATTAATTTGGTGGAATATTTATAGAGCCAGTAAAAAAAAAAAGAGAATTATATGTGCCAAGAGGTGATATGGAAAGCTCTCCAAGATACATTATTAAGTAGGAACAAACCAAAATGGAACAAAAACTTCAAGGTGCAGAACATTTGTGTGAAAGAACAAAGGAGAATATATTTATGCATAATAATTTTTCTGGAAAAATATACAGGAAACTTAACCTCTGGTTTTTCTTACGTACTTTTACAGTTTTCCTAACCAGATACAAACATTACTTTTTTTTAAGATTTTATTTACTTATTTGACAGAGGGAGACAGCGAGACAGGGAACACAAGCAGGGGGAGTGGGAGAGGGAGAAGCAGGCCCCCCGCTGAACAGGGAGCCTGATGCGGGGCTCGATCCCAGGACCCTGGGACCATGACCTGAGCCGAAGGCAAATGCTTAACGACTGAGCCACCCAGGCACCCCCAACCATACTTTTTTCATTCCTTTTATAATCCTCATAAGAGTAAAAGATTGGGGGAACTCTAACATTTAAGGGATGAAGGGGAAAGATTCAGCACAAGAGATGAAGAAGGAATGGCTAAAGAGACAGGACAGTGTTGTGAAAGTCCAGGGAGGAAAGAATTTTTCGGGAACAGTCAACAATGCCAAATGCAGCCTTAGAGAGCCAAGTTAAGATAAAGACCGAAGAGGGTTCACTGGTTTTGTCAGTTAGTAGGTAATTGATCCTTTCAAGAGTAGTTTGGCCAGGTGGTGGGAGTGGGGGCCATATTGCAGTGGGTTGAGTAAATGGAGGGTGAGGAAGCAGATACAGCGTTTCAAACCAACAGCCAAAGGGAGTTGAGAGGTTTTTGGCTATCAGATTTTTATGCTTAATGAAGACTGTCAGTGGAGAAAGTGAATACATTTTGGTACTACTGTTTAAATAAAACATTTATGAAGGATGGACTAGTTCTCTGATTTGGTTTTCTAGTCTTTTTTTATTCAGTGCAATATTTCCCCGACTTCAGACCTTCAGGAATTTTTCTCTATTTGTGTAATTCCTGTAATGTTAAAAAAACCCTCACTTTTTAAAGCTTAAATACACTTACTTATTTTTAAAGATTTTATTTATTTATTTGAGAGGCGGGAGAAAGCCTGCCTGCAAGCTTGAGCGGGGGGAAGGGCAGAGAGAGAGGGAGAAGCAGGCTCCCCACTGAGCAGAGAGCCCAACATGGGGCTCCATCCCAGGACCCTGGGATCATGACCTGAGCTGAAGGCAGATGCTTAACTGACTGAGCCACCCAGGCGCCCCTATTTATAAAGTTTTATTGAAGTAATCTCTATACCCAACCTGGGGCTCAAACTCATGACCCCAAGGTCAAGAGTCGCACGCTCTTCTGACTTAGCCAGCCAGGTGCCCCAATACACTTACCCTAAAAGGAAAACATTTTACCACTATCATACATGGAAAACAAAGTATTTCCCTAATACACATTAAAATAAATATCTGTTAAAAAATGTTTGGCTGTGTACCAAACAATCCTTAAATGTCATTTAGCTTCCCATGGTTTCAGGTCCCCCCCGCCCACCCCAAGTCAACCATGGTCTGGAAGCCAATGGTCCTGATGTATAGTCAGAAGGTCAATGGTAGCTTGGTGCTACATCACAGCGCCTATGTCATTCACCTCACTTCATCTTATGTAGGCGTTTTATCATCTTGCATCATCACAAGAAGAAGGGTAAGTACAGTACAAGATCTTTTGAGAGAGGCCACATTCACATATATTGTTAAAATTTTTCTATTTCCTTATTGTTACTCTTTTATTGTGCCTCATTTATAAATAAACTTTATCATAGGTATGTATGTATGTATAGGAAAAAACAGTATATATAGTGTTTAGTACTATGTGGTTTCAGGCATTTACTGGGGGTCTTGGAACATATCCTCTGTGGATAAGAGAGGGGACTATTACATACTGCACTTCAGAAACACTTAGGCAGTTAGTGAATAATCTCTTAGGATGCTAAGCTTGAAGATGGAGTAGAAAATTGCTTTAGGCATGGCTTAATCTTTTTTTTTTTTAAAGATTTTATTTATTTGACAAAGACACAGCGAGAGAGGGAACACAAGCAGGGGGAGTGGGAGAGGGAGAAGCAGGCTTCCCGCCGAGCAGGGAGCCCGATGTGGGGCTCGATCCCAGGACCCTGGGATCATGACCTGAGCTAAAGGAAGACGCTTAATGACTGAGCCACTCAGGCACCCCAGGCATGGTCTAATCTTAATCTTTTCAAGGAGTCAGGGATAAAATTGGCTCAAATATGTACAGAGACATGAAGTTGGAAATAATAAGTGTCCTCCTAATAAGTGTCCTAGGAGAGGTATGCATGAAATACCATGAAAACTCTTTATCAGGGATTTCTGGGAAGTCTTCATGGAGGTTGAGGCTCTTAACCTGGGGCATAAGGGATTGGTAAAATGTGTAATTTCAGAAACTAGGGTAGAGCATTTCAGGAGGAGGGGACCTTGTGCATAAAGACAAGAAGTTGAAGAAGTTGATAGTTTGGTTTGCCTACAGCCTAGGATTTTGAAGAGATGAAGTGGAAAAATAAGGCAGGAAAGGTAGATTCCAGTCAGACTCTTGAAGGCCATTAAATTTCAGGGCTTACAAAGGGTAAGGAGGTGTGTGGATAAGAGCGTGGTTCTGTGATTCGGTTCAATGAATTACACCTCAGCAGCCCAGTCACATGGTTATACTCTAGATCTTGCCAGAATGTACACGTCTGAAATCACTAATTCAAACATCAAGTTCT